AAAAATCCTGGAATGTTTTCATCAAAAACCTTAATTTCCTTTCGACTGAAGAAAGAAAAATATGGACATCTTGGATGATGTGGGGGTGAGTAAATTATCAGCAAAAGTGAACTACTCCTTTAAAACAAAACGAATTCAAAATATGTATAAAACTACAGTAGTATCTGCATTATAAGAGCACAGCAGAAGTGTGTGTTTCACATTCACAGAGCTTGATAGAAGAGTGTGTGCATTTGTCTGTTTAATCACGGACCTCTGATCAAAACAAACATCTACCAGCATCGATACAATATGTTATCAATGTTAAAAAAAAAAAAAAATCCAGCGGATAGAATTTCGATATCAATAAAAGATAGAAAAATATTTAGAAACTACAGAGAGCGTCACTTGAACTCGGCCTCGTACAGCAGCTGGTGTATCTTTAACTTGACGGCGCTCTTCTTGGCGTAAGGCAAGCGTCTGAGATACGGTAATAAACTAAACAAGAACATCTCGTCCTCCAAGTCCTCGTTGGCCTCCATCTGCCACTTCCTCTTGCGCCCCGTTCCCTGCGACCCCGACGCGGAGTAATGCGAGGATCCGTCCAGCATCCCGTGATCCGCCTCAAAGTCCTGGAAGGAGGAGTTCCCGTGCGCCGTCCTCTCCTCCTCCTCCTCCTCGTCCTCCTTCTCCTCCTCGTCTCGGTCCTCCTCCGGCTCGTCTACGGCTAGCGATCGGGACTGGATGAAGGGCGTGAGGAAGGACATCTGCCAGCTGTACTTCCAGCTCCGGTGGGACGTTCCCGACGCTCTCCTGCGCTGCTCGGCACGCTTGTCTTTGATGAACATGTCCCGTAAACTCTTCCATCGTCTGCGACAGTCCTCCTCTGTGAAGAGACGGCAACACGTTTACTAGGGCTGTCGATCGTAAAATGTCTAAAGACGTTTCCATTTTCATCACTAGATACAGACAAATCGTGCTTAATTGAATCGTTTGGGTGGATGAATCATAATGATTCGTTCATTCATTCCCGTTGAAGAACGAAAGGGAGTGAATGATTCAATGACTCACCCGTTCCATTCCTGAATGAATCAGCATGTGTAAATGAATCGTTTGGGTGGATGAATCATAATGATTCGCTCATTCATTTCTGTTGAAGAACGAAAGTGAGTGGATTCAATGACTCACCCGTTCCATTCCTGAATGAATCAGCATGTGTAAATGAATCGTTTGGGTGGATGAATCATAATGATTCGCTCACTCATTTCTGTTGAAGAACGAAAGTGAGTGGATTCAATGACTCACCCGTTCCATTCCTGAATGAATCAGCATGTGTAAATTAATCGTTTGGGTGGATGAATCATAATGATTCGCTCATTCATTTCTGTTGAAGAACGAAAGTGAGTGGATTCAATGACTCACCCGTTCCATTCCTGAATGAATCAGCATGTGTAAATGAATCGTTTGGGTGGATGAATCATAATGATTCGCTCACTCATTTCCGTCGAAGAATGAAAGGGAGTGAATGATTCAAATCAATGATTTTATTTTATTTATTTTTTTATTTTTATTTATTTTTAATTTCTTTACTTTTTTAAAAAAATTTTTTTAAACATTAAAGCAATTACATACAAACATATATAAAAGAAAAAAAAAATTACAGCAAAATACACAGACACAAATAAGTTGCCAGGGTAACATAAAAGCAAGAATGCGGTGCATTCACCTTAAGAGGACATAAAGGATGAATATATAGATACAGTTTTCATTGCTTTGGGATTAACAGAACTTTGGATAGTTTCCATGTATCTCTCTAAATCATCTTTGAATAAAGAAAGGAGAGGTTTCGAACCAGTAAATTTTTGCTTATGTACATGAAATTTAGCTAGAAGGAAACACAAATTAATAAATGTAATATTGTCCTGTTTTCTCTTTTGAGTAGTCAAACAAACCAAAGAAAACATCTTTAAAACAGAAAGAAAAGTCACTTATAAAATAGGATTGGATAAAAGTTAACAAATCGGACCAAAATTTCTCAGTGTGGGTACATTGCCAAAACAAATGAATGACGTCTTCCTCGGAAGAGTGACAGAAACAGCAGACTCACCCTTTCAGTTCCTAAATGAATCAGCGTGTTTAAATGAATCGTTTGGGTGGATGAATCATAATGATTCACTCATAAATATTAAAGAAAAATGCGATAACTCATGAAATAATGCAATATTCGATATTATGTGACGTTAATGCTTAAAGTGTGTAAACTTATATTATCTTAAAAATATATTTAAAATTATATAACCTAAATATGTGTTTCACACTGTTTTTGTGACAAGAACATCAGTGTTTCACTGTTATTAACATCAGTGTGTGCAGGGCTTCAGTTCTACATCACACTCTAAACAATGCTGGGTTGTTTCAACCTAAATGTGGGTCAAATATGGACAAACCCAAATGTTGGGTTAAAAATGCAATAAAAAAAATGTACAGTATAGACTTCTGTAAAGCTGCTTTTTAAAAGATGTGTATTGTGGAAAGCGCTATACATAAACATGAACTGAATTGAAATTATGCAGAAAAAGGATATAGGGTCACATGACTTTAATCATCATCACTAAATAAGACCATGGTTATTTGGGTTTTTTGCATTTTACTGTTTATGCATATGAACACTTAATTAATAATATAATCAACAATATATTTTAAAATAGTCAATATGTAACAATTTAAGCACATGGATATTTAATAATATAATTCATACATTTTACAATAAAAAAGTGATTTATGCATATGTTTAATTAATATAATGAACAATAAATCTTACAATAATCAATAAGTAGTAATTTAAGTATATTTAATTAAACTTTACAATAACCGATACGTAACATTTAAAGCATATTAAATGAATAATTAACAAAAAATAAATACATATTACATAGTAATTTAAGCACATGCATATTTAATTATTAATTTAACTATGAATCTTTCAATAATCAATATTTATTTATGCATAATGCAAATAACATTAATCACAAAATAGTAATTTGAGCACAAGTATAATTAATTATAATTAAACTTTACAATTGAAGCATGTGTATAATATAATTAACAATATATAAAAACAGTCATTTAAGTTAATGGATATTTAATTAGTAATAATATTATTAACAATATATTACATTTTACAATAATCAATAGTGATGTAAGCACAACACATATGTCTCTATTTAATATAATTAAGAATAATTATTACAATAATCAAAAAGTAGTAATTTTAGCACAAGTATATTTAAATATAATATATATTTAAATGTATATTTAAATGTATATATATTTAAATGTATATTTAAATATGTTATATATATATATTCTTAAATATATCTTTATATTTATATTTATATATTAAATTAACAATAAATAAATACATACATGGTTTAAGCTTATGTGTATTAAATTACTTACAATAAATTCTACAATAATCAAAAAAACAGGGATTTAAGAATGTATATTTAATTTCCTGATAAGTAACAATACATTTTATAATAATCAATCAACAGTCACTTAAAACGTATTATCTATACGTAATTAAAATGACATTAAAATGAACAGAAATAAAAGTTTCTTGCATGGAAAATGACTTTAGACCATAATTTACGAAATGTAATAATGAAAATGTAAAACTTTCCCAGCATATATAAAAAAAATCATTCAGTAATGTACTTTTGTAAGTTATGGTCTAACCTGGCATTATTATATGCACACAGCAACAAACAAACATGCATGCATGTACATCATACTTGACAGAAAAATTACTAAATATGTAACACTTGGAACATTGTTATTATATTTGAATAACAGTTACACAAAAACAAATATGACTGATGCAACTCTGGTTTAACTTAAAATCTGTCTTTGTGCATCAAAATGAGCAGTTATGCAACTCAAACTTTGGATGAAATCAAAACACACGACTAGTTTACAGTGCACATCAACAAACTCAAAACAACTCAGCTTTTCCCGTGGGAAAGTGTCAAATCTATCCGATTATCCCATGAAATGTATTTGCGACTCAAAAACACGTTGTGTTAGTTGTATGATGATATGGAAACAGTATCCGTGAGATATAGTTTATATCTTCAACCCTGGATTCCTGTTAGCCTACTCTGCAACAAGCTAACAGCAGATAACTAACGTTAGCAGTTTAGTTAGCAAGAAACGACTTTAGAAATATCAACTCTTACCTGGTATTTCAACTTGTAGGCTCACGGCTCTCCATGCTTTGGCTTTTCTAGCAGCGTCCTTATATGAATTTATTGTAGAATTGTATAACTCGGGATAGTCGGACACCGCTGCTATTAACCTCTCCTCCATTGTTGTTAGCATTGAGCGGCAAACGTTCTTAGCTAATGACTGTATTAACGGTTATTCCTCCAGAGGGCGCTCGATGGCCCACAGTTCCGATTTCTCATTGATTTGTATTCAAATTTCAACACGTTTTTTTATCTTATTGGAAGCATTTGAACAAATAGTTGTATAATCTTTTTAAATTATTTTTTTTATAATAGCTGAACAGCGCTTCACAATAAGTAATCGGTTAAAGCTATTTCCATATACGATTTTGTTAAATAATTATTATCTATTAATCGCAAACGGCTGTGATTGGTTCATAACAACCAGCGCTGAGAAACGTGTCGCGTACCACGTGACACCCATTCGCTTCAGTTGCGTCTTGACGGTGATTTACGTCTGAATGTTGAATTTAAAAGTGATTTAAAATAATAGGATTACCAGACAAGTCATAAATAACGTTCCCGCCATTTTAGCCTATCTATCAGTATCTCTTAGCGATTTATGGCTGATAGAAGTAGCGCGAGGCTCACGCATGCGTACTCTTCAGTCACATACTGAGTTACCGCAGTGCAAGCTGGGAAATGTAGTACGCGTTAGCAACCTAAAATGGAAAGAGGTGCACAACTGTAAAATTAAAACAGCTATATTGTGTTTGAAAATGAAAACAATTAAGCTGATGGTCTCTTTAAAGAGAGAGCACATTTAGTTTAATGGTCATATATTAAACAAACAAACAAAAAAAATGTTTACAAATCACATTCGTTTAGATCCATTATTCGTTAGAATTGTATCCTTCATTCTGCTCTCCTTTATATTGTAGTGTTTCTATCAGGTCCTGCTCATTTGTGGCTCCATACTGTTTGCGCTCTATTTTTGACAGATCAATTCTCTCCTCGTTCACGCTGGTGCTTGAAGACAAAACCTCTTCTTCCGTTTCATTCTGCACAAACAAAACACTCCAGTTAACCATTTACAACCAAACATTTCCACATTTGTAACTAACATAGTCTTTTAGCCTCTTCTGTGTGTGTGTGTGTGTATGTTACCCTATGTTCTCTGTGATACTGGTCAACAGCATACTGATATTTAGCAGAATTCAGTCCCAGTAAACCGGCCATTTTCTCTCCAAGAAAATCACAAACTATAAAGAAATGAAGTGATTTACTACGACGTATATGATTACACACAACATTTGTGACTTAACATTTGTGTCTGGGATGTATTGTGCTAAAAATACACAATGAGCTTTGAAATAAAAGTGCTTCTTACATCTCAAAGACTTTCTCAAAATCTGCGTTCCCCAAAACCGAGAATAATCCCTCCACGTCCAGCTTCTCTAAACGGACAAAATACGAAACAACCTTTGATTACTTTCATACCGGACAGATTTTAGAAACCGTATACTGTCATTATCATCACACTGACCGGGTCGGCAGCACTGGGCTCTTGATGAAGATCATCCTCCTCTTCCTCGGTCAGAGTCTCTCCGCTGGAGAAGTGAATCACCTTCACCCGTCTGACGTCACCACTCTTATTCTATAATAAATGATTGATCCGTGCACATTATTACTTTTGTTGAATTCATGCATTCTCGTAATCTTCCCTCTTCTCTGATGATGTGGGCAGGGGAACCTGTCACTCAAATGACATCAGCCAATAGAAAACCACAACCATCCAATCAAGCCCCGCCCACATTAGTTCTTGTTCCAAATGCGGTTTCACTCATTTATAGACACAATAGGAGAGAAAAGACGAGCGCGACTTCGGTTTCATGCTGACTTTAACCTATAAACAATGTTTCAGCTGTATTTTTCTCAGCTCGTTCTCCCCTTTACACTCATTTAGGCCTAAATTTAAGATTTATGTATTTGAATAAACATATGCATTTTCCATTCATTTGGATGACACACTTTTGACATAAACTAATAGTGATGCATACACAAGTGAAACAAGTACATTTAACATTTAGCACGCACAGTTTATTACGAAATATGCATTTATTTGATTTCAATTGCTTATTTCATTGGGAAAACTTTTTTTTTTCAGTTAAAAAGTATAAATGTGGTTGAAATATGGCTAGCGAAGCAATATTCCAAAATTGCACATTAAGTTAATTAGTTTATGTTGCAATTAGAAATCTTACATGCAACTCAAATACATACACAACCGTTCAAAAGTTTGGGGTTAGTAGTTGGGGTAAGAAATTAATGCTTTTATTCTGCAAGTCTTTATTAAAATGATAAAAAGTGAGAGTGAAGACATTTATAATTTATTTCAATTCTTCTGATCGTTCTATTCATCAAAAGAATCCTGAAAAATAAAATGTGTCACAGTTCCCACATGAAAAATATGACTGTTTTCAACATTGATAATAATCATAAATGTTTCTTAAACATTAAATCCTCATATTACACTGTAAAAAAATATTGTTGGTTTAACTTAAAAAATAAGTAACCTGGGTTGCCTTAAAATTTTAAGTTCATTGAACTGGAAAAAGTGAGTTAATACAATGAAGGAGATTGATTTAATCATCAAAAACTCAAAATTATATGTTATCTGAACTAAATAAATTATGTAAGTTGATTTGACAAAAGAAAAAATGTTGTAATTACTACACAGTAACAAAATATTGTTGGTTTAACTTAAAAAAGTAAGTAACCTGGGTTGCCTTAAAATTTTAAGTTGATTGAACTGGAAAAAGTGAGTTAATACAATGAAGGAGATTAATTTCATCATCAGAAACTCACAATAATAAGTTATCTCAACTAAATAAATTATTATAAATTTGATTTGACAAAAGAAAATATGTTGTGATAACAAATCTTGAAAATATTTTTTACAGTGAAGGATCATGTGACACTGAAGACTGGAGTAATGATGCTGAAAATTCAGCTTTGATCACAGGAATAAATTACATGATTTTACTATAGAAAACGGTAATAATATTTCACAATGTTGCAGTATTTTTGATGACATAAATGCAGCTTTGGTGACATTAACCGATCTGAATGTTTGAGTAAACCTTCATTTAAACGTGCATATCTGGAGTGTGAATGTGTTTACCGAGGGAGTGTGTGTGCACATTCAATAAAGGCATGGTTAACAAGATGTCACTTACGTCTGTGTGCATGCTGTGGATCTCCTGCCAGAATCTTCGTGTTTCTTTGAGAATATCTTAAGAAAGAGTGGAAGAGTTTTTATGACACGATCGCGTTTCCTTCATCGCAGGAGGACGTCAGTTTCATGTACACGGATGTTGTTTGTCTAAGTACTTCTGTAGCCTGTAGCAGGAAGCCGGTTTAGGTGGAAAGACTTGTTTTAGTTTAGTTGGCGCTACCCTGGGTTTTAGGCAGCATGAAAGTGGTTTGGCTCATCGCCATAGTAACTAACTCTCCACGGCTAACCCGGTCCGGGACTTGGACCAATCAGCTGTGAGCAAAGTGTCACATGTCTGATGCGATAAAGTCACTGCACGTGTTTCCACTCCAAACTAAAGATTACTACATGGCCCATTTTTATACTAATTTATTGTTTTATTGTTATATGTGTGTTTGCATGGCCAGGACACTCCTGTAAAAGAGATTTCAGTGAGGTATATTCAGCGATCTCAGTGAGGTTCTCTACTGGTTAAATAAAGGTTATAATAATAAATGATTTTCAGAGACAAAATCGTCCGGCTTTTAGTTACTCTGATTTAGATGTTCATGTAATTATTAATCGATCACACGTGTACAATTTTAGTTTATCAATTATTATTGCGCACAGTTTAAAGGTTTTATAAATCTATAACACTTCATGGCTTTAACTTGCACTGATATATCAAGACTTTTTTGTTTTAGTTCTTTTTCTTTTGGTGTAAATTTGTTTTTTTGTATTTTTCAATCTCGTAATATTCTGCAGAAGAGAGAAGTGAATCTCGCGAGAAATGAATCGCAGTTTCACTCAGTCTCAGCATGTGATTGGCTGTCCGCTACTGATGTCACTCCTAAACTCAGTCTCAGCATGTGATTGGCTGTCCGCTACTGATGTCACTCCTAAACTCAGTCTCAGCATGTGATTGGCTGTCCGCTACTGATGTCACTCCTAAACTCAGTCTCAGCATGTGATTGGCTGTCCGCTACTGATGTCACTCCTAAACTCAGTCTCAGCATGTGATTGGCTGTCCGCTACTGATGTCACTCCTAAACTCAGTCTCAGCATGTGATTGGCTGTCCGCTACTGATGTCACTCCTAAACTCAGTCTCAGCATGTGATTGGCTGTTCGCTACTGATGTCACTCCTAAACTCAGTCTCAGCATGTGATTGGCTGTCCGCTACTGATGTCACTCCTAAACTCAGTCTCAGCATGTGATTGGCTGTCCGCTACTGATGTCACTCCTAAACTCAGTCTCAGCATGTGATTGGCTGTTCGCTACTGATGTCACTCCTAAACTCAGTCTCAGCATGTGATTGGCTGTTCTCTACTGATGTCACTCCTAAACTCAGTCTCAGCATGTGATTGGCTGTCCGCTACTGATGTCACTCCTAAACTCAGTCTCAGCATGTGATTGGCTGTTCGCTACTGATGTCACTCCTAAACTCAGTCTCAGCATGTGATTGGCTGTCCGCTACTGATGTCACTCCTAAACTCAGTCTCAGCATGTGATTGGCTGTCCGCTACTGATGTCACTCCTAAACTCAGTCTCAGCATGTGATTGGCTGTCCGCTACTGATGTCACTCCTAAACTCAGTCTCAGCATGTGATTGGCTGTCCGCTACTGATGTCACACCTAAACTCAGCACAAAACAAAACAAGCAAAGCCACATACAGTTAACACACATTTTAATGGGAAAACCATTAAATGTATGACAGTGAGTTACATGTTGACATCATAATCGGCGGGTATATTCGATGATGAACACATATCCATACGAATGCATAGATGGAAAAAGAAATAATTACAAAAACTAAATGCAACCCTTGGAGTGTCATTTTCCAAACGCTGAAGAACGTCCTGTTAAATAAATATACAGCAAAATATCTGACAATCATTGACCATTAATAAGTAGTTTCAATGTGTCTGAATCATGTCGGAGCGAAATAACAAGCGGAATACAGTTTCTGTAACATCCTGCAGCTTTTTAGAGATCATTTCTGTGCAATCCTTCCTCTAAGCACCAGTGTCATATTTCATTAATAACTTAAAGATGGTGGAACTTATGTGGAGAAACTTTGATTTCTAAAATAACAAAAACAATATAACAATCAAATCAAACCTGCACAAAACCAGCGAGACATGCGGTTCGTCCAACCCTCACAGCTATGGACAGGTTTCAAATGAAAAGCAGATGAAAATATGATTGTGAATATGTACACGTATAGAAACGACGTCCACTGAAGCTGATATTAGAGATGGCGAGATTATAATCAGACATTAGTTCTCTGATCTGGGACACTTTCATCAAATTAACAAATGAACATGTGCTCGTCCTCTCTTCTCACGAACAAATATTAATCATACAGCAGATATTTCATGTGCTAATAGTGAGTTACAGGTAATAATCTGGGTAATATCCACTTTTGTTTAGTGAAGTTCACAATAATAGTCAAGAAATTATATTTTGCATTAAGCCTATTATTCAGACCCCTACTTTATTAAATTAAGACAGAATTTTTATATATATGGCTGTCAAATAGATTAATTAAGATTGATCACATCTAACACAAAACTTTGCATTTATGTAATGTGTGTGCATATGAAGAGTTCAGATGCAAAAGCCTCTAAATGCCATTTGAAATTTTCTTTTTTAATGATGATTTGTATCAAACTTGGATATTTAAGTTCAGTAATTTCACTTAAATAACAATTAATAGGTAATTATCATTGCCATTTAAGTGAAATTACTGAACTTAAATATCCAAGCTTGATAAAAAACGATCATTCTAGAAGAAATTTTCAAATGGCATTTAGAGGCTTTTGCATCTGAACTCTTCATATATATAAAATACACACACATATACATATATATATATATCACAAAAAAATCACTAACTTTTATGTTAGATGCGATTATTTGATTTGACAGCCCTTATATTATTATTTTTATGCAATGTCTTAATACAGAAGATTAATGGTTTTAAAAAAGTTTTAGACAGGGTAAAATATGACATTTCTGTTTGAAATTTACTCAGTTTAAAGACTGTTAAACATTAGCATTTGTGTTGAACAATGGATCAGCCTCAACATGAATAGCCAAATTATAAACATTAAGAGAAAAAAAATTGAATTCAGTGACCTATAGAAGTTATTCTCTAATCATTGGACCCAATAAACCATTAATATCTCAATAAAATCGGTATAATCAAGTGCATATCAAATGATCACATAATTCAGATTCAGTCTGGGTTATTAGGATTAATTCTTCATCAGAACGTCTGTCGTTTGTAGTTAAAACACCTTAAAGCGATCCGAGCACGAGACAGACGCCACTGTTATATCACTATGTTATATTGTTAAATATTTGCGCGTGGAGAGAATGGCGATTGAAGATTACAGACTCCTCTAGACATCACGTTCACCTGTCCATCGACACCATTAAGAGACGACGCAGCCCGTGTCTGTCTGTGGCTTCAGGTCCGGCTCCTTCACTGGCTTGATCTCCTCGTCATGCTTCGCTTTCGGCTAGGAGGAGGAAACAATATATATAAAAAAAATGGGACATTATTATAGTTGGTGTCCAGAGATACAGAGTGCTATCGATAATAAACAAGTGCAACTGGTAAATTCTGCCAATGAAAATATTACTTATAAAGCCAGAACACAACTGTTGTGCATCTCAGAGTAACACAGCAGTGCTTCGTTTCTGGACGAATCAGCGTTTTGAGCGAATCAATCGAGTGAACCAATGATTCAATGCCTCATTCATAAAGAGAGCAATTTAGTTCACTCCTGAATTAACCATAAATTAATGATTCAATGCCTCATTCATGAAGAGAGCGATTTAGTTCACTCCTAAATTAATCAGAGAATCGAATAAATTAATGATTCAATGACCCATTCATAAAGAGAGCCATTTAGTTCACACCTGAATTAATCAGAGAATCGAATGAATGAATGATTCAATGACCCATTCATAAAGAGAGCCATTTAGTTCACTCCTGAATTAATCAGAGAATCGAATGAATGAATGATTCAATGACCCATTCATAAAGAGAGCAATTTAGTTCACTCCTGAATTAACCAGAGAATTTAATAAATGAATGATTCAATGCCTCATTCATAAAGAGAGCGATTTAGTTTACTCCTGAATTAATCAGAGAATCGAATGAATGAATGATTCAATGACCCATTCATAAAGAGAGCCATTTAGTTCACTCCTGAATTAATCAGAGAATTGAATGAATGAATGATTCAATGACTCATTCATAAAGAGAGCTATTTACTTCACTCCTGAATGAATCAGCAAATAGAATGAATGAATGATTCAATGACTCATTCATAAAGAGAGCCATTTAGTTTACTCCTGAATGAATCGGCGGATCGAATGAATGAATGATTCAATGACTTACTTATTTAGACTTTTACCACCACCTACTGGAAGTTTTAGTTTCTTATTTAGACTATCATTTCGTTAAAAAAAATTATTTCATATTTCCGTACTTTAAAAGGGACAGTTCACCCAAAAATGCAAATTCTACAATCGTTTACTTACTCACATCGTTTCAAACTTGAAAGACTTTTTAAAATAAATTTTGAAGACCATTGACCATTTTATGAACAAAAAAAAAACACAATTCTGAGACAATTCTCAAATTATCTTCTTTTATGACACACACACACACATATATATATATATGAAGAGTTCAGATGCAAAAGCCTCTAAATGCCATTTGAAATTTTCTTCTAAAATGATCATTTTTATCAAGCTTATATATTCAAGTTCAGTAATTTCACTTAAATGACAATTAATAGGTAATCCTCATTGCAATTTAAGTGAAATCACTGAACTTAAATATACAAGCTTGATAAAAATGATCATTCTAGAAGAAAATTTCAAATGGCATTTAGAGGCTTTTGCATCTGAACTCTTCATATATATATATATATATATATATATATATATAAAGATGGAAAGATGATCTCACCTTGTCGTCTTTCGGTCCTCTGGTAAGGTCAAAGGTGGCGTAGACTTCAGGTGTGCACTGAGCGCTGAGAGCCGGGAGCTCGAACGGAGTCGGTTCAGCCAAACCATAGCTAGCCTTCAACTCCAGAGCAGGAGCTTCAGCGGGAACCTTGTGAAAGTAACTGACACAGAAATTCAGCAGTGAAAAATTTGTTTAAGGAAGCTTTTTTTAATCATACTGTTAAAACGAGTGTTAAAGAGGACCGATTATACCCTTTTACAGAGTTAACCCTACTAAAATAGGTTTTCATGCTCGA